TTTTTTCGGCAAGGCATAGGATGATAGAAACTGTGCTGTAGCCCCAGCTTGTATTGCACAGTACCTCTTTCATTTTGTGAGGTGAGTGCTGATGCCATCAAGAATAAGACCGTCATGATATTTCACAGCCAACCTCGCTGTGAACCCAAAACAAAAACCTATTCTAACTTCTTTCCATTTCGTCAAGTGCTTGCGCTTGGTCCACTGTCTCACCCTCCGGAGTTTCCGACTCAGCCAGGTGTCCCCGCGCAAGAGTGTCGGTAGTGCCACGGCACGGAGCAGGTGCGCGTTCTTTTTTGCCACGCGCCTGGTGTAAAGAGACACACCAAAGGTTCCAGGGTATCACCCAAAAGTATAGACACTCCGCAAACTTCAGTAATTAGACAAGCTTCCACACCCACCCACCTCCAGATTTCAGGAAGACTACATTGTATCCACCTTCCAGGACACCTTTCATAGATGGCCCTTTAAAATTGGTTGGTTGGTCAATCGAGGGGGCACCCCCGAGTGTAGAACCAATATTAACATATTAACAAGTATACGGTATACAGTACCAAACCGGCCCCTTATCATTCACACCTTTGCTCAACATTATTGACACAAATCCCATCCAATCCCCATGATCAGCTGTTCTCCATGTGTTGTGATCAGTTGTTGGATGTTGTAGGTGTGTTTTGTATTTTTTGCTGTAGCCCTTCGGATCTCTGCGTGCGGGCTTTGAGGACCTGCGGTCGATTCATGAGGGACCTGTTTGTGGTTTGCACGAGGACCTATGTCGTTTTGTTTCTTTTGTAGATCAAGAACCATTCAAGATGTACCAGGACCCCCAGTCGGGGTGGTTAATGGACACCCCAAATCACAGCTAAGGGGCTATAAATAGACACCCCTTCAAAGGTCCTGGTACCAAACATTCTATGTTGAATATGCGTTAATCCTTCCTGGAATCATCACGGAATTGAAAAAAACACACTGTTTGTAGAGGACCATGGTCTTTCAGAGGGTCCATGTTTCACCTCCATGAGTTCTTCAGGGAGTGCAATCCTTTTCTAAGCTTTGCCCCAGAGCCTCTTGAGGGCTTGGTCGACGATGTCCTCGCGGAGCAATATGCTGGACGACGCCTGAGGAGGCATGGTGGGCACTCTCCAAGTTACTAAGATTAGAAGTGGAAAACCCTTGGCAGAGGACAATCCCCTAGGGATCTACATAGTAGATTGGAGACTCTTTTATGTAGGCGCCAGAAGGGTCCAATCACCGAACCTCGGAGGGTATGTGGATCCTTAGGGAATTGTAGATGTTTATTTAATTTGAAATCGTGGAGATCTCGGAGACGCGACGTGAAGCTTGACCAACAATCGATGGAAGCACATGCTCCTCTCAGCAAGCGAGACAAACCGCAAGGGTCAAGCACCTCCCTGGTTACAGAAACCCACAAACCTATCAACAACCAGAAACCAACAGATTCTTCGTTTACTGACCATGCCTTTGTGGCCGTAAAATGTCCAACGTTGTCCTGCAAGCATCTCCACGCGAAGTCTATGTGTATGTGTTCCGCCCTGTGCTCGACAAATGCTTGGCTACGTCTTGAGAAGATACCGTGCATTCGCTGGACTGTGCCATTCTCACCTGATGCCAGAAATCGAGATGATCGCACAGTCTTGCTTAGGCTGATGAAGTTTTGGGAATCTGGGGGCCCAAGTTCATGTTGCTTCCTTTATGTGGTGTGTGTTTTTCGGGAGACCGAACCGCATCACCCAACTTCGGGCCACGGGAAATAGACCAAACGCATGAACAAAAACCCAGTGGGCCATGTGATCTCCCTCTTACCCTATGGATCCACATACCTTCTCAGAAGGTAATTGGACCCTCCTGGCGCCTACATCGTCTCCCTGCTCACCTTCTCAGGTTCGGTATGTGGATCCATAGGGTTACACAAACACACACCCATTTGTGTCCATTTGTCACTTCAGCCCCCACCGAGCACCTTCCCGGTCACGCGGCCAGGTGGCGGACATCGGCGTCCGAATCTGCACCAAAGCCATGCAACCGACCGAGCAGTCGCTTCGGGGTGCGGTTCCTTCGCGGCCTTCGTTTTGGTTGGTGGACGAAGGGCTGTGATTGGAACAGATGGGAAACCCTGTTAGCCTATGCTTCAAGAGACTAGTGTTGGGAGAACAGATGGGGTGTCCATTTGTTCTCCTTCAAACAGGGAGCCAAGGAGCGGCAGGGAGGTTCCGAACCACTTGCTAGCAACCACTCGCCAGCAACCACTCGGTGGCCACAGCATGACCTGCACGGTGCACGCATTCTTGGCACGTTGGGTTGCAAGATTGGGTTGCATAAATGGCATGCAATTGCATGAACCCCAATGTATGTTTATATATACCTATGGCAAGTAAGTCCGCCTGCCCTCAACTTTTAACTTTAATTGGAATTCCCAAGTGGTGATTTTAGATGGGGATGTGCTACACTTACTGGTGTTCATCCATGGCAAATGGTGTTTTGCACGGTACCCTGGCATGCTTGGCGGGACACGTCTCACTGCTATTCTCCTCAGAAGGTCCACTTGCCGACGTCGCAGACCAAGCCTAAGCTTCACATATCTTCACAGGTTTCGGGCTTGGCATGGTGACATGTTTTCTCTTGTAAAAAAAATTTTCATTTCATGCCTCATGCCCAGTAGTTCTCTCATGTTCATATCACACTGCTATAATACAAGTAGTGGGTATACGGGACACGGAGCGAGCGAGCTCGCTCCGTGTTTTTCCTGTCCACTCTCCGCGATGGAAAGTGGATCTAGTGGATCTCCGCATCAATTTCACCCCCGACTCAACGACTCTTGTTTCAGTCGTGGCCATGGGATGCCAATGCCGTTTTGGGGTCATGACCAAGAGGCTTCACTGATGCAATGACAGCGATCAGATAGCATGGCTTGGTTTGTGGCGATGCAGGACGCCTTTTGACGGTCAGCGTGACAGACGAGCGCGCATGTGGAATAAAATCATTTGCTGAGACTGGGAAGGGAAGAACGCTGAGATGGAGAGTCCGAAAGGGGTCGCCTTTTCCGAGGACTGCCGGAGGGTGTCCCCACTCCAATCCCACCGGTGGACGGACTACGTTCGAGTTCACCCTTAATTCTCGGGTCAGGAAAGGCATGAATGATAGCTGATAACCCTGGCTTCCTCCGAACCCGCCACTCCTTGGCCGGCGCGGGGCTCGTGGGATTTGGAGTTTGCATGCGTCTTCAGGCGAACCAAGCCGCGGGGGTTGCACGTTGCAACAGGTTGAGCTCTCAAGATGTGTGAAGCCTTTCTGAGAACAATGTGGAATTCATGACCAATTAGGTGAGAATCGATACTTAGGTGAGCCATTCCTTCCATCCCGCCAATTGGCACGTCGCATGCTTACGAAGCCATCCGATGCCTTCGACGTTCGGGTTTCGCACTCTTTTGGAGATTCATCCACTGGGCCCTGGTAGGATAGACCCCTAGGGCGACTTCACCATATCCTCAGGTTCGGTGGTTAGACCCCCCTGGCACCCACCCTAACCACCTTCTCAGGAGGTAATTGGAGCCCTAGGGTACCAAGATATAGATATGATATCTGCAAGAGTTTTCTACCAATCCCAAAGCATTACTCCATTTTTGGGGGGCCTTGCCACCCTATATATATATATATATAGAGCCCTGTCCCATCGCAGGGGTCATGTTTGGGCTCTCCATTGCACCTCCCAACCCTGCCTTCGTCATGGCGGAGCGCTCGCAGACCCTCAGGGACGACTTTCGTAGAGCGCTTTGTCCTAGACCGGTGCACGGTGTCGGCAGGCAAGAATCTGAGATGCAGCGGCTTGGCCCGAAGCCCTGGAAAGTTATTTACTTTTGGAACAGTAAACCCATACACTCCATGTATGCCATATATAGTGGTTTTGGTGGTCAATGTAGGCATATATGGCATACATGGAGTGTATGGGAAATGTAGACTCTTGATGACTCTCAACCCCCCTGATGCAGAGGTCCTATAATCCAAGCTGGGGGTGGGCCAGATGATATCACAACACCAGGAGTTCGGGGTCGATGATATCACAGCCCAGCCATTGTCTTCTCAGAAGTCGTAGGGGAAGACAAGTCTTTTCTTTCAATCTTGACGAGACAACTCATGATCTCCGAGATGAAGATGCCACAGATACCAGGAACCTCTCACAATCGGTCAGTACCAGTCTGTTGGGGGCGATTTGTGAAGGCAGACGCTTAGATATATATTGCGAAATATCAGCCACCCATACCTGGATTGTTTGGCGTTCCATTGAAGAGAGAGAAAAAAAAAGGTAGTTCCTGTTGAAAGGGCCAAGATCTTGATTTAATCGACTGATCATGATTCGTGCCTGGTATTTTGGTGTCTGAGTGTCCTTTGTTTAGAAGAACAGTCATTTGACTTCAAATCCAGGGTCCTTTCCTGCCATTTTTGGGGATCCCATGTCCCCTGAGGTGGACTTACAGCCGTGACCCCAGCTGAAAGCCGCAGAAGCTGCGGAGGGCGGGTGGATGAGAAAGCGTGCGCCGGCGCTTAGACTGCGGAGGCTTAGCAAACTTGAGACTATACTAAGTATGTTTCCATGTTATGATGTTTTGAAGGCATAAAATGTGGAAAACATGATGTGTGCTTGCACCTGGTTGGCAAATTTTGATAGCTTGACTCTAGGGCTCTTTTGCCTTTGTGTATTATTGTTCTTCCTTTGCAGGTGCCTTGAATCCTTGAATCACTGGAGATTCCGCGGGCTATGGGGGCCATCCATCACTCCAAGCAGCGGGTAGCTAGCGAATCACTTACCTGGTACACCTTTTTTCGCAGGGCTTCGTTGCTTCGGCACCTTCCGAAGCCAACGTGATCCGAAGTCAGTCAACCCCCACCCCCCACCCGGTCACCCCTTTCCGAACCCCACGGTCAGCGCTTCCGAAGTCTTTTGTCAGAGGCTTCAGACCCTTTTGGGCTCCGGGCCAGTCACTTCGGTCACCGAAGTTCGTTCGGTCACCGAAGTGCGTTCGCCTTCGCCTTTGGGAGCCATTTTTTTCCCGAAAGCACCTGCGAAGGGTTTTTCCTTAAGCACTGCTGCCTATTTCATCTTCCTTAATCTCTTTCTCTTACTTCATCTTCCCCACTCTCTCTTCCTTACTCTCTTTCTCTTACTTCATCTTCCCCACTCTCTCTTCCTGACTCTCTTTATCCTACTTCACCTTCCTTACTTCATATTCTTTACTAACTTTCTCCTACTTCACCCTCACAACATCATCATCTAATCATCACCTCATAGGTTATTAATCTCATATCATATCATATTATATCATATCAGGTTATAATATCATATCACATCACATCAATGTCATAACATATCATATCATATCATGTTTTAATATCATATCACATCACATCAATGTCAGATCATATCATCTCATATCATGTGATAAAATAATATCACATCACAACATAACATATGAAGTAGAAGTATCAGATCAACAATATCAAAGTACATCAGAAGTAGATATTGATAGGTAGGTATTGATAAGTGGGTATAGACAGGTAGGTGTAGGTAGGTAGGTGTAGATAGGTAGGTGAAGATAGGTAGGTGTAGGCATCTTCCTTAAGACACCTACCCAACTTCACCTACCCAACTTCTTCTTTATTCTTCTCTTTAGGCGGCGGGGCGGTGCGAGCAGGTCTTACGAAACGCAACCCTCTCGTGGAATCGTGGCCATCGATCGCGCGCGCGTGTGGTGAGACGCGAATCGCGTTTGTCCGTGAGCAACCCTCTGCGGAGATCGTGCGTGTCGATCGCGCGAACGTGTGGTGAAACGTACATTTTTGGTGTGCGCGGTGCGTTCCGCCATTATAATTCTGGTGACAAGGTTTTGTCGATTTTGCGTTTCCCCATTGTAATTCTGGCTTCAAGGTTTGCCCTCGAGCAACCCTCTGCGGAGATCGTGCGTGTCGAGTGCACGAACGTGTGGTGAAACGTACATTTTGTCTGAGCGCGGCTGGGCGCACCATTATAATTCTGGTCACAAGGATGTCGCCAATGTGCGGTCCGGACCGCATACTCATTGGGAAATGCGATTCCAAGGTCTGTGCCCGGTCTGTGCCCGGATCGTTCCCCCATTATAGTTCTGGTCGCAATGATGTCGTGAATGTCACCTCTGAACTTTCTACAATGCGCGCTCTGGACGTCATACTCGTTGGGAACCGCGATTTCATGGTTTGTGCTCGGATCGTTTCCCCATTGTAATTCTGGTCACAACGATGTCTCCAATGTGTGCTGTGGACTTCATACTCGTTGGGAAATGCGATTTCATGGTCTGTGCCC